TTGGTCGAATTTATAAAGGTGAACAGCTGAATCTACTCCCTTCCAAAACCCTTTGGAATTGAAGGAGCAAACTATTGACATGTGAACTTTATCTTTACATCTTATCCAAGTCCAAACAAAACTCTACCATATGTATTCTTCAAGAAACGCAATATTCCAAGGATTATAAACAAGAAGAAAAAGGATCCACACTTTATGTGGTGCAAAATTTTCACAAAAATACCCAAAAAAAAAAAAAAAATTGTTCATCATTCCAAGTAAGTCCAAAGAAATTCCCCAAATTGTTGTTTATGGAATTTGCATTTCATTCTTCCCGTGTTTTCCCCTTCAATCATTCATTTCACTTCTTTAAACCGCGTGGTTGCTTTCCTTTTCTTGGTGCTCATGATGTTTATAAAGTATTCATTTCTCACTTTTCAACAAGCTAAAAGGAAGTTGGACATGCCAAAATGGTAATACTATTCCTACAAATACTCAAACCTAATGGTCACAACCCACTATTTTAACACCTAATTTGTAGCCTAATTGGCAAGGTATATATTCCGCAAGAATGTTCAGTTTGAACTAATTCCTCTCTCCTTATCGAATGGAATTTTGATTCTTCGAAAAACTTTGTTTTAATTTTGGGTAATGGAGTTTCCTTTGTTCCGAGTGATGGACCACAATTGATGTCTTAGAAATTGCAAATATTTCAGAGTCAGTGAGAATTTTGATGCAAATGTGTCTTAACATATCCATATAAGTACACAAATTCTGTGCAAAAAGATGGAGATTGTTTTGACTCCCAACAACTCCAGGAGTCACCCACCGCAGCCGGGCCAGGCCACTACTGGACAGGTTTTGCCTTCACCAAGAAAAGCCAGAAAAGCCATTTTCTTTTTATGTTCCCATGGAGGCCCCTGTGTTTTGTATTGTTAATTACTTAGGTTTGAGAAATTCTATTTTTCACATAATTGACAAGATTGATTAAGTTAAGTGCATCCAAATTGCTATATATATATATACATATCATATGATATGGTACGTGCTCATGACTTAAGCTAAATTTTGCTATTAACTCAAAAACTCTTTATGTCAAGATTTACTAACCCTTAAAATTTGAACTTTAATTGTTAGTAACGATTAGTAATGACAATTATATAGACATCACACTCATACTTCTATCCTAATGTAGTGTTCAAGGCGTGACACGCTCTCACACGGCTGCCTATATATATTTTCACACTGAGATTTTTTGGTTATGTTTAGAAAGATTCTACCAACTATATATATTGTCCCATTAAAGTAATTAATTAATTTCTCTTACATAACGGAGCATACCCCAATTAACTATGTTGTCTGAAAGCAAGAACATGTCCTGTTATTCTGCACTGGAATATATAAACAAGATTATCCTTTTGGTTTCAGATGTACAAGTCCTCCAGTACTCCAAGGCCAAGCAACAATTTGAAAAAATGCAAGAACAATCTCTTACATTTTCTGTGGAAGAAGCAGAGAGAATCAATTGTATGGTACTTTGCCAATGAGAGGAGATCATAAACATTACAAAACTAGGACTAGATAAATTAAATCCCTTCATGAACTTAACTAGTTAACTTGTTAATTAATTTCATGGAAATTTTAGAAAATCAAGACATCTTAATAATTAAAATATCAGAATTTCTTATAAAATTGTTTCAATACCCTTTATGAATCACTATATAAAAAAGATTCATTAAAGATATTTAAATAATTTTATAAAAAAATTCTAACATTTTAAAATTAGAACATATTCCCAATTTAAACCTTTTTTTTTTCCTTATATCATTTCCTCTGATCAATCTCACATGCACCGGCACAGTGCAATCATATCTGCATGGTTTCATGGAGGAAAAGAAAAAGTGTAGACAGAGGGAAATGTAGAATTATTGTATCCATTTACAAGCACAAAGGTCGTTGAGTTGGGACTGGTGTTATCGACTCACTCTTGTGAATGTCTCTCTTGAATACACTCTCTTTATTAGAATGCATATAACACAGACAATATGATGGATGATAACTTTAAATTTTAAATGTTAAATTTGACTTTCACCATCTATCATCAATTATAACAAAATATATATTATATGAGTCTTATGTTGTGTAATTCAAATTACATAACAGTTTTTCAATATTTTATATATATCAATGATGTGTGTAACTCAATCACATAAAGAGCTTCTAAAAGAAAGCATTGTTTGCACTGCTGCTATCTCTTGATGAAATATTCGTAATTGTATTTTTGGGATGAGAAAGCCTAACAACAGCATGACGATGAGAAAGTGATGTATCTAAAGAAGTTGATTTGGACCTATCACAAACGTATCAAAGCTTTTTCAAACAATCTTCGGAAAAAGATATATTTTTTTTCATATATATGCATGAGAATATTATCCTTAGGATAGGGTTGTTGAGAAAGACTTTGTGAACTCTTGCTTCTATAGGGAAATGTTAATCCTCTTTGATTTAGAAAAAGACTAAAGAATTAGGCATGTTTGTGGGTTTTAAGGCCCACAGCGCATATGAGAACCATATAAACAAACATGATGATCTTGAGCAATCCGCCAACCACTAGCTTAATTTCATGTTCAAAATTGTACAGTAAACGATGGAAATCAGGACAAATGGGTACCACAATAAAACATTCTATGTATTTTAAGGAGAAAGACGAGCAACTTTACATGGAAACAAATTAGGAGGACAATAGAAGACAACTCCGCCAAGGTTCCAAACATGATCAGGATCGTGTTAGGTTTGATATGAGAATAGACAGAGCCTTTTTCAATGTGTAAATTAGGAAATCACAAACTAACTTAAATATGTCGTTTGTCATTGCATCTGCTTGACGTCAATTGATCGTAATACATCCATGCACGTTCTCCTCCTCAACTCCCATTCTTTTTATATTTTATTTTTTCAATATATCTATATATAACAGGACTATTAACATTTAAATAGTTCAATAATAATAATTTTTTTAGTGAAAATAAAAAATTATGAATTTGAGTTGCATAATATACAAATAAAGTGAATTAAAAAATGAAATCTAATTATCTTTTATTATGCAATTTAAGATCAAAGGCAACATTGAATTGAAAATATATTACAAGTCATTTTCTAAATATATTTGTTTTGGAGGTAATAACCTATAACTCAATTGTTATTTTTTTATGTTATATATGCTTGCATCTGCTTGACGTCCATCAATGGTAATATTCCATACATCTATCCATGTTTCCTTTTCCTTTATTATATTATAGTTGTTCTTCCCTTCCATGATTTTTTCTCTCTTTTTTTTCTCATTATCTACCATGTGGAGTGGTCCTTTTCACTATGGTTCTCTGAAAGCATGATGTTGGTGCGCGGAGCAAACAAAGATATATGGTGGCGAGAAACAGTTAGGTCCTACAGATTTTGGAGTAAACAATACATTTTCCACTTCTTTGTGATATGCTTTATGCAGTGGGCACTAACTTAAAAGATCCCTAAGTGCATGAGTTAATGCCTTCCCTTTTTTCAAATTCGCTCCTCTTACATAATAAAAGAACTCTAAATTATTGTCGATTATAATGAACAAAAATATTTTAAGTGGGGAAAATCAAAGTTGGATTACCAACATTTTTTGCTCCTACCACAATGCCACAAGTATGGTTATTGCTTGCTTCTTATGCTCAAATTTCTTTCTGCGCTATAATTACAAAGAATTAAAAGGCTAAGACCCTAATTAGATTATGCAATTTACCCCTAGCTATGATTTTGATTTTTCCCATTTCAAAATAGACATTAAAAATAGCAAGAAAAGTTGAAGCCATTACGTCCATATAACATATAGTAAATATTAAAAGCAAACGAAATTGAAAGGAAAAATGATCAGAAGCTACTTCTAGACTCAAACCCCACACCCTTCTTTTCTTTATTTTATAGATTGTCGTCTCTTTATCTCTTTCTGTTGATTATGTTATTCACAATCTGTCAGATTCGGAAGCCTGTCTTCTTTCACGGTACGAGTTCACTGAGGAGTGTATTTATCCACAATGCCAGTTCATCAAAATACAGCCACACTTTGGACAATGTCAAATGGGCAGCTTTCACCCAAATTTTACAACTCTTGCAACTTACAAGAAACCAATTCCGCGTGATTCATATACTGTTATAACAGACAAAACGATTTTTTTTTTTTTTTTCCCTGGAGGCCAATGGACAAAACTCAAGGTCATGTTTAGTTACAGGAATAGTTATTCGTTAGTCAAACTACACAATAAGAGAAATTCAAGAAATTTAATTGACAAATTAAGAAAGGAGATAAATGGCGACAAATTTAAAAAGAAAAAAAATTATTATTTTGAGAAAGTATTTCATCATTTAAAAATATTTAATATAATTTGAATTGTGTGACAGTATACTAAATTATTTTTTATAAGGAGTTAGATCGTTTAATTTTGAGGGTAATTTTTCATCTATACATCTTTTTTTATAATCTAGTTTAATCTACTCTGAAAAAAAAAAATAATTCTTCTTAATTTTAATAATTTTTATAATTTGAACAATAAGTATTTATTCTTCTAAACATAAAAAAAGTGAGATATACTCCTTTAGTTTCAAAATAATTGTTAGTTTTAAATTTTTTTTTCTAATTAAAGATTTGGGAATAATTTATATATTTATCTATATTACCCTAAAAAAAATTAAAAGATGAAGTGAAATTTTTTATTATAAGATAATTAATCAATAATAAGATTAAAATAGAAAAAAATATCTATCTACCCTAAAACATGAAAAAATGATAATTAATTTAGGACAAATTTAAAGTAAGAAATAATTATTATTTTGAAACAAAAAGAAGAAGAAAAATAGATATCTCTCTTATATTCCAAATTACTCTTTCCATGTCTTAGAATTTGAATTAAAACTACCAAGTTCAAAATACAATTCTACCAAGAATATAGATCAGATTCAACTTTCAGCAGGGAGGGGCTAAACTAGGCTAACGAGAACAATTATTTCCTATTATATAATCGATTAAGAGAAACTAAAATAAATAGAAGAAAATTCGGATCTGACTTCAAAATTTTTGGCCCTGATGTCAGCTTAATATACTGGGAGCAAGCTGTTCCATTGGCAGTGCCAAAGGAATAGTACCAAATCATAGAAAAGGTTTAAAGGTGGATTAATAATTTGGGCAAAAGCCATTTTCCCCTTTCAGCTTAAAAAGCTGCATGTGATTATTAGCCCATGGCTCACAGGCACCATGATTCGGGAGACAGGCGTAGACACAAGGGCGGATGGAAGGTGAATGATGGCGAATTGTACCAAAGAAGTATACTTTTACTGTCACCTCTTAATTGCCTTTTGTCGCAGGCTCCTTAGCTGGTACAAAATGCACTGCTGGCGAGGGAAGGACGGTAGGAGGAAGTTCTGTATGTGTCTGCTTCACAACAAAACTTTAGTGCCGTATTGCAATAACATAGCATATATCAAGTATCTAGCTGATAAATATGAGCATTCAAATCGAGGAACTAGGAGTGAAATTTTGAATTTCTCCAAAAGAAACAGGTAATGGAAACTTAGGTCATCAATCAGCCAACTTGAGAAATAGGATTTACCAGCATTCCTCTGATCTTGCATTATCTGAGTCCTTGAGGTTACAACTCTTCTTTTTCTGTCTGGCTAATCTGAAGACAAAACAGAGTTAACCAAAACATGAAGATAAACTAGAGAGCTTAAGCCAGAAGAGATAAATGGGACATATGAAATATAGGCGATAGAAGAGCAGAGGATCCCACATATCAACATGATATAATTTAGAAAACACGTAGAAAGATTAAACAGTCTGGAATACTGGAAACCACCAAAATTATACATAAGCATAAAGGCATAAATTAATATTAAATTTGTCCAGTATGAACTAATAGCTACAGAAAAAACGGTTATCAACCAAAAGCAAATAGCTAGTAAAGAGAAATAAGGAAGTCTAGAAAGCTAGCTGTTTCAACTCAACAATTCGACATAACCATCTGTTAGCAGTCCAACAAAAGGGTCCTGCTGGGTCTTCAAGGCAAGAAGAAACATGAGTAGTAGACTAGCTTCCAGAATTCTTCTTACTAAAAGCGAACTTTGATGAGAATTTTTTATATGAGATGTTGCATGGAAAACAGTAACATTCTTTGCCAGGGTTAATTTATTCTTGGGTGCGATGTAGAATGAAAGTGAACAGCCTCCAGGAAAGTCACTCTTCAACAACATTCACCAGCTCAAACTCGATCAGTGAGAGATTGTTATCTTCCTTCACAGTGAAGCTAGCAGGTTCTTTTGCATCCTCAACACGACCCCATTTGTCCACTGCAAGCCTCATTGATCCCTTAAACATGTCAATTTTAGCATTGCGAAGGATTACAGTGGAACCCTCTTTCATCATGTCCACTAGAAAACAAACAAATAAGAGAAATAACAATATGTTAGTTTTGATATAAAAAAGGGAAGTCTTCAAACAATTAGGATATGCTCTGGTGTATTCATCGTATAAGTAAACCAATGGAGAATAACAATTGCAAATCACAGTAATATTCACATGATTAGGAAAGATTTAACTGAATCTTCTTGACAGTGCCCAAAGGATCCAGGAAGAGCAGAAAGAAAGAAGAAATGACCCAATTTAAAAAAGGTAAAAAAGGGATGATACAATTCCTTTAAAAAAAAGCATGAGTATACCTTATGTGCAATGACAATCAATGGCATTCAAATCCTACAGAATTATAAAATGTAACAGTAACACAGCATCAGGAAAATAAAATAGAGCATGGAAGGTTAGCTGAGAAACTACTGGACCTAAGGTATCTTCAGTTCTAGTGTTCTAACCATGAATCAATCCCACTTAGAAGATCTAAATTTGTAGTTTGATAGTTTTCAATGACATTGAACATATGCACTCACTGATAACCAATGTTCCTAAAACCACAAAGTTAGGAAGGACAACCATGTTAGGCATATAAAACAACTTTAAGCAGTCTAAAAACTTGCAATTCATATTAAAATATTCCTATAAAAGTAAAACTCCTTGAGAGCTTCATTACAATGTTCTGAAATATTGATGAATACGCTGTATGTTTGTAATGTTCTATAAAGAAGAGCTATTGATGAAGAAGAGCATCCTAAAATATACCTCGGATAAGATTAAGTGATTAATGAAACACACATGAGAAAGAGGGAACAGGGCAACTGATGATGGAATAATATTTACACCTACAAGCCAGTACCAAGTAAAAATGTGATAAAATAATTAATGGAAATAGAATAACCTCAAGGAGATAGTAAAAGATAGCATAAATGTGAATATGATAAAGACTGGAGATTAAGATGGCTGCTGCCAAGTTGTCAAATATATATATATATATATATATGCTGACATAAAAATAACAAGGACACATTTGTAACCATGGGTTGTTTGCCCTCTTAAGGACATGAAAATCAAATGTTGCACTGCAGGCAAACAAGGGGTGCTAAAAGGAAAGGCCACAGGCCACTAACCATTTTCCCAATAACTATTCAAAAAAAAATGTCAAACATAAGATTCAAACTAGATGTACACCCTTAAGATATGTGAATTACATCAGCTACACTGTTTAAAGCTCACTCACACTCCAATTAAGTGAATGGTATACTCAACAACAGCAAAAGGTGTCTTAGCCTTCCTTTTCCAACAATTCTCTGGCACACTTAGCATTTTTCACTGTCAGTCACCACTAATGAACCAAACGAGTTCTCCAGTCACTATATCAGGCCTTTCATTGGAAACAACTCTACTCAACCATAAATTTTCACCTGAGACTGGCAGTAAAGATATATATGACACCAAGTCACCAGCACCATCTACCAGCAATTCATTGTTTGTCAACAAAGGAAAAGGCAAATAATTAACAATGACCATTGGCTACACAAAATCGTGAATAAACCCCACAAACAAAGAAATGAAGCACCAGGAGAAACATTAAAGGTAAAACCCTTATCAATAACAAAAGTAAACTATCCCCGATATATAACCCTCATTTGCAAAACAACACAAGGAACTACTAAATAAAAGAGGTCAACAACAAATTGGAGCAGAGAAGAGTATGCCTTGTTCATTTCTGGCAGTAAAGATAATCATTCCAGTTTCATCTCCAACCAAGCATTCAGCAATTCGCATTTGGCGTCCACGAGGACCATCAGCACGACCCTTTTGCATAACCATCTTTGTGTTAACAACCTTCACGGTAAGAGTATGTCCATTAGTGCCAGGGCGAAGCTGATCAACCTTGGTGAAAACTGGTTGCCTCAATGCTGGTTTCGATTCCGCCATTGGAACACTAAAAAACCACAATAATAATCATCATCAATAAAACAAGAATAAATCAAACCTTTTAAAAGTAAAAGAATATTTTAAAACCAAAAAGACAACTTTAAATCCAACTGTATTCCTAAACTTTTGCCTAAATCCAGAGACATATGATAAATTAATAGACCAAATACATTAGCTAGATAACAAATCAACAAAATAAATATCATAACTCAAAATTACATCTAAGCCACAACGTCAAAGCATTGACAATTATCACAAATAGAACAGGATAATCTCAAGAATCTCCAAAACTTCGCAGATTTCTACAGGAAAAGAAACAGATCGTCGGAAAATAAACGACGAATACCGTAAATCGGAGTATCGTAAATCGAATCCTAAATCTTGCAAGGAGAATAACAAGATAACAAAAATTTTTTCGAATGAAATTGAACGAAAATGTTGAAAAGTAGGTTGAGATTTACCTTGAAGCTGGCCGCGGAGAGGATTTGGGAGACGATTTGGGAGACGGCACCGAAGTGAGCGAGGAACGAGGAGGAGATCTGTTAAAGTCGGCTTCCGAAGATAACAGTGTTAAGTATTTACGGTTTAAATAAGGTGGGGGAGACTCTAATAAATTTACTATTTATATCGATAAAAGTATTTTTTTAGGGGGCCTAAATTTAGTTCTTAATTTTTTTTTTTAATTTTGAATAATTTTCTTTAACGTTTGATTTTTTTATAATTTTAGTTTTAAATTATTTTTTATATTTTTTTCTCTCTCAATTAAAAAAATAAATTTTTTTATCCTTTTTCTATTCAAGTTAAAAGTAAATCATCACATTAAAATTAAAATATTTATGAAAATTTATCTTATTATTAATTTTCTCAAAAAATATAAGTAATTTTTCTAACTTGGCAAGAAAAAGTATTCTAAAATGATTTTCTATATTTTGAAGAAATGATTTTGGATTTGGATTAATTTTTTAAATGTGTAGATCAAACAAATAAAGTTATTTAATATCAACTTTGTATGCTTATTTAACTATTGAATATTTACTTAGTAAATTAAAAAATGAGAATAATACATATTAATCTAATTTTTATAAAAAAATTATAATCTTAATTTTAAAAATATAATTTTTAATAAATATTTTTAAAAAAATTTCTAACATTTAAATGTTAAAATTTTATAATTCTTACTTTTATCTTTTTATGAACGGTCTACAATTGCACCTGAAGGTCGTATTCATAATTTTTAGGTTAAAACTCCTTTTTGGTCTCTGGACTATTGTACGGACCCCCGATTTGATCCCTGAACTAAAAAATTCCCTGATTTGGTCCCTACTGTTTATCATTTTTACCCCGATTTGGTCCTTCCGTTAAAAATTATGTGACGTGGCCTGTTACTTAACGGATACCGGATGACATGTCATGTAATAATTCACGTGGAAGATAATGTAACCAAAAAGTGATGATGTGGAAAAAAAATATTATAAAAAATAAAACTTAAATTTTTTTTCTTTTTTCTTTTTTTCTTTTTTCTTTCTCCTTCCCCTTTCCCTTTCTCTTTCTCCTTCCCCTTCCTCTTCTCTTTCCCCTCGGAACCCAGCAGGCCTGGGTTCCTTCGAGCCCGACCCAGGCGCTGGGTTCCTTGCGAACCCAGCGCCTGGGTTCGCAAGGAACTCAAGC